AAAAGATATTGTATGTAGCTTGATGGTGTAGAAGATATGTAATATACGTTGTAATTAAGGATCTAATTGTAGTTAATTTATCCTTAAAATCTCTTTGTATCATTATATATATTGTAAACCTTCTTTCTAATAAAGTATAACATTCTAAATCTATAAAATGAATACCAAATAAATAAAAAGAAGAGAAACATGTTTAAAGTTACTAAACACAAAATAAGGTAGGCATGATATGAAAACATTTGGTATATACAAAAGCTCTCTAATTTTTGGATGAGGTGGTGGTGCTAAGGACGTCTATTAACGCGCGCACAAAAGCTCCAGCATTGTTCAGCGGTATTTACAACAACCATTCCAGCAAAATTTGTGCACCTAAACCTTTTCCATATGGATAGCACGGTGGTTCTTTTACCTTCTCACCCGTTATAGGATTTACTATCGGATCGTCTTTGAACATATCTGTAAAAAAATCTACAAAGAAAAAAGTTAAACATTTGAGCAGACTATGGAGGATATGATCATGATTATAATGGTATGAGCGAAATAAACTATTTATAACATTAACTTACTGCATTCATGAAGACTAACGAGAGAAATAAGAACAATACAAAATATAGCAAATTTAGAGGATGACATTGTGATTTTTCTCTACAAATAAAATTTTTGTTGTTTTTTGATGGAAAACATTAAATATATGTAAAAAGATATATATAGAAGTCTCTAATTATCAGTACACCAATTTTTGTAAGGTGATCCGGAAACCGTTCTTTGATTTGTTTGGCTAATTTTATTTCCTTTCTATTCTAAAGTATTGATGGTGAACAATTATAAATTTTTATTTGAAATTTTTTAATGACCAATATTTGGAAAGTAATCATTATTGGAGATTTGTAGTCTTTTCTTGTAGATTTATATCCGTTAAGCCATGTAAATAGTCTCATTTTGTTCTTTACAAGAAGAGAGATATCTGCTTATACTTCTATTGTCCATATGTTTTTGCCTCATAAATATATTTTTATCGAATTAATAAAAAATTTAAAATTATAATATTTTGAGATTTAATCATACAATAGAAAAACAGCTCCAAAATTTTAAATTCGATAATGGGGAATAAACCATTTTTAACTGAGACATCTAAAAAAAGTAACACGAAGCAAATATATTGTATCTTGTAAACCTTCATCTCTTCTTCCACCATTGCCACCACCACCAGAATAGGAAAACTCATGTTTTCCGATTATTTATGTGATGATTCGGGTAAAACAAACTCAGTTAG